GCTTATCACATGCCCATCTGGCAACTGATAATCCACGATGTATTCCCTCTTGGGACTATTCCACTCATTCTCAAAATCAAGGGCGACATAACAACATTTGTGCTTGATGTCCTCAACAACATCCAACTTCCGGTCGTCTAAGTAATGCCCCATATCTTTTAGGAGGTCCATCAAGAAAGATGTCATATTGGACCCAGCAATGTCCATCCTTTCTATGGCATGCGGCAAGTTGTACCCTTGATGGACTGGCACGGTATGCGTCACTGCATAGCCAGTGTCGACCACTAAGCCACTAATTTTGCCATGGGCATACACTGACAACACAGACTGGTACGCCACATACATTCCTGGAGAGTTGAGGGACTCAAAGACAACCTCCACCAACTTCTCTCTGTTTGTAGTTGGGCAGAGTGGGGGATCAGACATCAAGAGCGCATGGTCTTCAGGGGCAACTCTGAGGTCATTGTAGAAGAGGTGTCTCCAAAGGACTTCGGCTGCATCCCAGTCTATGATTATGCCATGTCTTACCGGCAAAATAATATCCACATCAGGCTCCAATCTTGCCCGCTCCCCAACAAACGTATCTGGTCTATCTCTTCTAGTCCTCATGGACTTCTCTGTAGGGTGTCCAACCAAAGTCCCAACGACAGACTGGGGAGTCTGTTGACCTGCAAATCCAGCTTTACATGTTCCAGTGCCAGTTTCTATCACGACAGCTCCTGTCTTGACGACCGGACGCCCCTTTTCTGGAGTACTTGATCTCGCCATTGTGGAACTTCTTTCGCTCGAAGGTGCTCTAGACCTGGTTGATCGGTCCCCTGCATATCCAGGAGAGGTGGTTGTTCTCACATGCCCTGGACTTACTGGCCTTGACCCTGGGCTCCTCGATCGAGAAGATCCCCAACTCTTTGTCCGCGAAGGCCCTGGGCTGGTGGGCCTGGTATTTCTGAATGACATCTCAGAAGGACTCCAAAGATTCCCTTCTACAGGATCAACCAGTGAGCTGTATAATCAGTTTGGTGAGGACCTGCCAGATGCCTCGGTGATATGCTATCACACCAGCATCTTGGGTGAATTTGCTTAAATAACCAGGATTATGACCATTCCCTCCAGCCACCACCTTGGAAAATGGGTCAATCCATTTCTTTACTTTCCATTTTGCCCGATGGCTTTGAAGTGTTCTGTGGAAACAATGGGCTTGAGAACATGGAATCTTCAGGGTGAATGGAAGACCACGTGTCATCCAGAGCCATTCCCCTGAGATCATCTATGCTAGCGGTCTTCAAATTGGGCCTCACAAGGAGAAGACCCTGGAAAACAGTGGACGGGTGTTCCAGTCTGGAATAACATTCCCACCTTATCCCAAATCAGACCCTTGATATCAGTGGTGTTTACTCTGAGAGGCAATTGCTCTCCGTGGTCTCCAGCAAGAGACGGGACTTCCTCAACTTGCGGACTTGCCATTGAAAATGGCAGGAATCGATGCTGGGATTGTCTGAGTGAAAAGCAGGGGCTCTAATACTATAAGAACATAACATAAGAAGAGCTCTGCTGGGTCAGACCAAAGGTCTGTGAACTTGTGATTCTGTGAACTTTGGCAGATCATGAGAGGGAGGGCAGGAAGGGTTGCCTCAGTGCATAGTCCTTGGGGCCCTTTCTGACACACCCAGGGAAATGCCGATCGCCACTTTGGGGTCAGGAAGCAATTTTTCTCCAGGCCAGTTTGGCCAGAGATCCTGGAGGTTTGGGGAGTGGAACAGGGGTCACTGGGGGGTGGGGAAGGGAGGTATTTGTGGATTTCCTGCATTGTACAGGGGGTTGGACTAGATGACCCTCCTGGAGGTCCTTTCCGGCTCTATGATTCTAAGGCCCACCATGTCCAGCCTTCAGTTCACACAGTGGCCAACCAGTGGCCTCTGAGAAGCCCACAAGCAGGGTAACTGCATCAGCGGCCTCCCACCCATGCTGCCCAGCAACTGATACAAAGAGCAATGCTGCCTCTGTTGGAGGGAGTAGATATTTATCATGGCTAGTAGCCACTGATAGCCCCATCTTCCATGAATGTTTCTTCTTGTCAGCTCCACTGCCATTGTAAAGGGGGGAAGGCAGGAGGCCGCTGGGCGAACATCTTAATGTGCTGGAATGTTAACTTTCGTTTCTTTCGCTGTGCCTTAACTCTTAACTGGGCTTCTGACCTTGGTACCTCGTTCCTGTTGCTTCTGTGGGAATCGGAACCCATTAGTTTAGGCGTGTTGCAGCTCATCCTCTGATTGGCCTAATTCCATCAGGGGGACCCCATCTTGAACCCTGTATATCTTCCCCTCTCCCACCCTGGCAGTTAGATCTAACACTGAACGTATGGACAGATGACCTGCCTTTACTGTACTCAATAAACTTGATCCTTCTGAGGGAACGTTGTTGAGACTGATTGCTGTGGGCAGGGCTCTTTCTGTAGAAAAAGCCCAGCAGGAACTGATTAGCATAATAGGCCACACCCAACAGCAGGAACTCATTAGCACATTGGGCCACAACCCTGACAGCACAGCTCATTACCACATTAGGCCACACCCCCATGTTACCAGAAGTGTGGTCATCCAGCCACACCCACCTTTTGCTTGTTATTCTGTTTACCTTGTTTGTTGTCAAAACCCAGGGCCTTTTTCTGTAGCAGGAACTCCTTTGCATGATAGGCCACACACCCCAAATGTAGCCAATCCTAATGAGTTTCTGCTGTTGGGTGTGGCCTATTATGCTAATTAGTTCCTGCTGGGCGTGGCCAACTTGGGAGCCAGCCGGAACTCCGTTCCTGTGTGTTCCTGCCCAAAAATAGCCCTGGCTGTGGGACTCTGACACTTCTCCCCTGTTAAAGCCTTCAAAGTTGGTGGCCATCACCACATTCTGAGGCAGTGAATCCCACGATTTAACTATGCACTATGTGAGGAAGTATTTCCCATTGGCTGTTCTGAGTCTCTCACCCTTCAGCTTCAATGGCTGACCCTGGGTTCTAGTGTTATTGGAGAGGGGGAAAAGGTGTCCACTGTCTCCATACCATGTGGGTCCTGTATCCCTCTGTTCAGATTTTGAAGATCTCCACCACCTTTAGCCACAAATTAAACTACTGGAATCTACCTTAAATTTTTAATGCTACCTTGTCTCTAGACTTTTCCGTATGCCCTTTTCCCCATTGGTTCTTTCCCCAGAACAAAAAACCCCCAGCCCTAATATATCGATATAACACCTTAGTATTGCAAAGACAGTTTAAGCAGACTACCTGAATTCCCAGATTCATTTTTAAAGTAAGTCTCTATCCTCTTCCCTGTTGGAGATACAAGGAAAAAGGCATATCTCTGTGAGGGAAGAGCTAGAGACTTACTTTTTTAAAAAAAAGAAAGCTGGGAATTCAGAGTACCTGCTTAAATTATCATTACAATGATATTTTAGATAATTTTTTTAAAAAATAAAGGAGGTGCTTTGATGCCACCATAAATGACACCCCTGATGATGACAGCAGCTTCCCTTGATGAGCCTTGGCCAGTCACGTGTGGAAGAAAATAAACTGACTCCACACAACTGTAAAAAAGCACAGGGAGGGTAGACATCCAGAAGAACCCTGCCCAAACCGATTCCAATGCTTGTGAATTGACTCCCAAGAAAATCTGGAGTAACTCGAGCCTGTGGGAAAGGCCTCTTTTTCTAAGGTTGTTCCCAAAATCTTCCCTGACAGGAACTCCCCTTGGAATCTGCTTTTCTAATCCAAGTTGCCCTTGTCTAAGTACAGAAGTGCATTTTGCCCATGTACTATTGCTTTTTTTGGGGGAGGTGGAATATACATTTTTTGGGGGGAGCAGTGGCACAGTGGGTATATCCCACTGTCTTAACATCTGAACTGTGTTAATTCAAGCCCCGTGCTGGTGTGAGCAGCCAGCCTGTTGTCCACAGCTCATCATCCACCCAGCGATTTGAAAGCTTCAGCAAGTAGATAAAATGGGAACCACTCCTTAGAGAGGGTGGGCAGGCCAATCTCCCTTGTGGGAGGGTGTTAGCTGATGGTCGGACGTCCTGGTCGAGCCTTGGAAGGCGAAATAGCTTCTCGGCTACGAAAGAATCCCTGCAATGGATGTTCCAGTCAGGCGGTGGCAGTGTGACAATTGATATATGGGTCCTGAAGCCTGGCCAACAAGCAGCCATGCGGAAAACGATGGAGCCAAGCCAGAAGACGTCTATACCGGGCAGTGACGGCGCGTGCAATTAAAAATGAATATATGTTGTCTTCCCTATCCCCTACAAACATTGTTAGTCCCTTGTCTATATTGAGTAACTGTACATCGCTTTGAGCCCACTGGGGAAAGCGATTAATAAATGGAAAGTATTATTATTATTATTATTTGATATCAATTATAGAAGCATGAATTAAAAGTTAAGAAATTGACAGCACATATATACAACAGCATGGAGCTGTGGTGGCTCAAGTGGTTAAGACGCTGAACTGCAGGCTGTGGAAGGTCAGTAGTTCAGCAGTTTGAGACCCGGGTGCCACATGACGGAGTGAGCTCCCATCTCTAGATCCAGCTCCTGCCAACCTAGCAGTTCGAAAGCAAGACATTGCAAGTAGATAAATAGGTACCACTCCGGTGGGAAGGTAACAGCGTTCCATGCACCTTGGTGTTAGTCATGCCGGCCACATGACCACGGAAACATCTTCGGACAGCGCTGGCTCTTCAGCTTTGAAACGGAGATGAGCACCGCAACCCTAGAGTTGGATTCGACTGGCTTTCGAGCAAGGGAACCTTTACCTTTACCTTTTTATATACAACAGCATTGACATAGGCATAATGTGAACATCGCAGAATATTTGCTACGGCCATTAAATTGTAAGATTTCGGAAGTGCATCCCTATGGCACGTAGAAAAATCTCCACAAACCCTGATGCAGATAAGTTTGTAAAAAGTGGGGAGGGAAGGGGAGACCTGCCCCTTCTTTGCTCTTGGGGGTTCTGTGGCAACGTTTGCAAACTTTGATGGAATATCAAATCCCCAAGTGTACAGAATGCTTCAGTTCTCAAGAGGACAGTGCTGCAGCAATCTGCTCAGCCTTGTTATCACTATCTGATGTTATACAGGATTAATATGATGGCAACGTTGTCTTCAACTGGCCAGCAGAGGGCAGGAGAAACTCAAACATTTGCAGGCTGAATTTAGATCCAGGTGTGCAGCCAGGTTGGTCTGAAGCAATAAAACAAATTTAGAGTCCAGTGGCACATTTAAGACCAGCAAAGGTTTATTCAATTTATGAGCTTTTGTGTGTACGCACACTTCCTCAGATACACTAAAATGGAAGTTAACATTCTGTCTATATATATGAACACCATCATCAATGTTCCCTCTAAGCTGTGGAGTCTTGTGAGCAGAAATTCTACTTTGTGAGCTACTGGCATTAAAGCTGTGAGCGAGCAATTTGACTACTGCATAAATTAGTTTGCTCTGGAGACATCCTTCCTGGCCTAAGACAAAAATGTGTGAGCCGGAAGCTAAAAAACTGTGAGCTAGTTCACGCTAACTCAGCTTAAAGGGAACACTGACCATCATTATGAAATTAAAACAACACTGCTAGCACTTTGATGCTGTATTGTTTTATAATGAACTGTTTTAGATGTTTTTATGGTAATTTAATTGTCATTTATGTATTTACCCTATGTAAGCCGCCCTGAGTCTCCCTTGGCGGGGAGGGCGGAGTGTAAATTGGAAAAATAAATAAATAAATAAACTGTT